AGCTTCGTTATTGGATATCTTGAACCCCACCTTAACCGCGAATTCCAAATAATCACCCTTGGGAGAAACCAGAACAATTCCCAATCCTGCTCCGCTTCGGGCCACAGATCCGTCCACAAACAACTGCCATAGTCCCTCTGACTCCTCCTCGACTTTCGTGCCTTCCTGGATAAAATCGGCCAACACCTGTGCCTTTATGGCTCTCCTAGGCTCGTACATCAGAGAATACTCGCTCAGTTCAACCGCCCACTTCACCAATCGACCAGAAACCGATGGCCGACCCAATGTTTCTCCGAACAGCATATTCGTTCGCACCTTCACCTTATGGTTCAAGAAATACGGTCTCAACTTGCGAGCAGTTACCACCACAGCTAGCGCACACTTCTCGATCTCTGAATATCTCGTCTCTGCTCCTTGCATCACTCTACTCACATAGTAGATAGGGAGCTGCGTTGTTCCTTCCTCCCGCAATAATACCGAACTTACAGCTCTCTCCCCGATGGAAATGTATAGCACCAACTCCTCTCCTTGTACGGGTTTGGCCAATAAAGGGAGGTTGGCCAACACCCCTCGCAGCTCCTCAAATGCTTTTTGTGCCTCCTCCGTCCATTGGAACTTCGCGCTCTTCTTCAGGGTTTTGAATAGCGGGCCACTCTTCTCCGCCACCTTCGATATAAAACGACTCAGCCCCGCAATTCGACCGGCCAAAATCTGCACCTCTTTTACGTTTGTTGGTGACTTCATCTCCATCACAGCTCGAACCTTCTCCGGATTGACTTCAATACCCCTTTTAGTCACCAGATAGCCCAAAAATTTTCCCGACCTCACTCCGAAAGAGCACTTGGCCGGATTTAGCTTCATCCCGTATCTCCGCAACGTCACGAATGTTTCTCTCAAATCTCGCACATGATCCAACTCCTCCTTACTCTTTACCAACATATCATCCACGTATGCCTCCATATTCCTTCCCAGCTGCTCCTTAAAAATTTTATCGACCAACCTTTGATACGTGGCACCCGCATTCTTCAAACCGAACGGCATGACCGCGTAACAATAGGTCCCTCGACTTGTCACGAAACTCACCCGCTTCCTATCCTCTCTAGCCAAGGGGATTTGGTGATACCCCTGGGATGCATCCATCAGACTTAGCAACTCGCACCCTGCCGTTGAGTCGACCAGCTGGTCGATTCTGGGCAGCGGGTATAGGTCCTTCGGGCACGCCTTATTCAGGTCACGAAAATCAATGCACATCCTCCATTTTCCTTCCGACTTCGACACCATCACCGTGTTCGACAGCCACTCAGGGAACTGAATCTCTTTAATATGCCCCGCTCCCAACAATTTCTCGACCTCCTGCTCGATAATCATGTCCATCTCCGCCCCATGGTGCCTCCTTTTCTGCTTCACCGGCCTCACGCTGAGGTCGATATTTAGTCGATGTTCGATCACCTCGGCACTTATTCCCGTTAACTCTTCTGCTGTATAAGCAAAAATATCAGCAAACTCTCTTACCAAATCGATCAACCTCGACCGAATGGGCTCCTCCAGATCCTTCCCGATTCTGAACTTTCTACCCTCGCATCCCTCGATCATCTGAATTTCCTCAACCTCTCTTCCAGGCTGGATGTCCATCTTCTCCTTACCCTTCTCCACTTTTTGCTTCTCCTCCTTCGACCTTGATCCTCCTGGTCGATTGAATTCCTCTCCCTTCGACTCAGCCTGTCTCCTTGCTAATTGTTTGTTATTGCTAACTGTTGTTTGGTAGCAGCTTCTCGAAGTGAGCTGATCCCCGGCAATCTCCCCTACGTTTTCGCCCACCGGATATTTGATCGTCATGTGGTACGTGGATACGACTGCCTGGAACGCGTTCAAGCTCGTCCACCCCATGATGATGTTATAGGATGACTCAGCCCCTACCACTACGAACCTCACCATGCGAACCTTCCTTAGCTCCCCTGATCCCAGCGCTACGGGCAAACTGACCTCCCCCATCGGCATAACCTCTCCTCCATTAAAGCCATAAAGCGCCGTGGCTACCGGCTTCAGCTCCGTATTCAGCTCCTTGTTAATCTGCACGAAACAATCATAGAACATGACATCCACCGAACTCCCAGTATCAATGAACACCCTCTTTACATCAAAGCCCGCAACCTCTGCGGTTATCACCAGAGCGTCATTGTGTGGTAAGAATACTCCCTCAGCATCCTCCGCCTTGAAACTTATTACTGGCATGCGCGTTGTAATCCCCACCTCCTCTCTCTTTTTCTTCACTGCTCGCGCATGCTCCTTCCTCGATCTGTTCGAGTCACCATATGTCGGCCCCCCAGAAATCATGTAAATCGTTCCTCTTTTCAGCGGGGCCCCTCCTCCTTGTCCCTCTCTATCTTCCTCCTTTCTCGACCTTTTTCCTCGACCATCCCCTCCATCTCCTTCTTCATCTCTATCACTCCTCTCCTCGGAATCCTCTCTACATCTCCTCCTGCCCTTTCCTCTCACCCTATCGTGATAGACAAACTCCTTCAGATATCCTGCCCGAATCAACCTCTCGATCTCATCTTTCAAATGCCTGCAGTTCTCCATGGTATGGCCGTAATCCTTGTGAAATCGACAATACAAATCCGACCGGGGCCGATGCGGGCCGGTGAACCTTGTCTTTGGCCAAGTTACGTCCTCAGTCGACATCTTCTGCTCCATAGCCTCGAGCACTTCTGTCATATCTTTCCTCAAGGGAGTAAAGTTGTGGTACCTCTGCCTCTCGAACACCATAGGCCTCCTCTGCCACTCATCTCTCTTTTTCCTTTTCGCATCTCCACTCCTCCTTCGAGGAGACGCTCTCCTCTGCTCGCTCCTCTTAGGCGAGCTTCTCCTTGGTGATCTCCCCCTTGGGCGGTTTTGCTCTTTCTTCGGTTCTGGTTGGGACATCCCCTCGAGCTTTGCAAACTCCATCTCCATCTCCTCCAGATTAATGTACTTCCTGCACCGCTTTAGAACATCCTCGTATGATCGAGCCGGGGTCTTTGCCAAAGAAGTTCGGCAGGGCCCTGCTCGAAGACTCCTAATCAATCCTCCTGCTTTCACCTCATCTGAAGCGGAGTGCACTTCCAAACATGTTTTATTATATCGAGCAACATACTTTCTCAGCGATTCCTTCTCCCCCTGCTTCATCGCCATAAGGGTCAAGTAAGTCTTCTCTTGTGCCACTGCGCTCGAATATTGATTAGTGAGCTTGCCGGCAAGATCCTCAAAATCCGCAATCGATCCCGAAGGTAATTGATGAAACCAGTCAAGCGCTCCTCCGCGTAAGGTCGATAAGAACGCCCTGCAACAAACAGAATCAGAGTATCCATGCAACACCGCCATATTCTCAAAGGTCCTCACATGCCTCGATGGGTCAGATGACCCGTCATACACCAAGTTGGTCTCCTTGAAATTATTTGGCAAAGGAGCAGCGAGAATCTCCCTTGAAAAGGGATGTCCTCGAGCTCTCCTCTCTGGCCTCCCCTCCACCTTATCTTGCAACTGACGCAACTGCTCCGCCATCCTCTCCATGGCCCGATCTCTTCCAGCTCCTCCTTCCCCATAGCCAGACACATCCTCATCTTGGTTCCCCGTTGCCGTTGTCGGCGCAGTGGTGGCGTGCTACGTGTGACTCGTGACCTGTTGCACCGCTTGCGCCGCCGCGGCCGCTGCGAGCCTCTGCATCTCCTCCCGGGTCATCGTAACCACTTGTTGGCCCGGGGTTTGTACGGCTACCTGCGGTGGCACTCCTCCTTGTGCCTGCACTCCTCCTTGCCGTTGCGTGAGATCTGGGGGTGGTGGTGGTGGCATCGCCGCTGCCGCTGCTAAGCGAGCCTCCTGGGCCTGACTGGAGCTGGCATCTCCACCGGGAATCACCGTCGTCGCTCCTACACCTTGGAAATTAGGTGCAGGAGTGACCGGAGTCTGCGATGGGCCAGAAAAACCCGGAGGAGGGCCGTGCCCCAATGGCCTGGTCGTCGTCCAAGCTTCGTCGAACGTCGACTGTAAGTTTCTAGGAATTCCGTCCGCCATAGCTGAGCTTCAAACACAACTTCTTGAACAAAGAATCCCCACAGACGGCGCCAATAATGCAAGTGTAAGCGTCCGGGCCCGGTTTGGAGTAGATCGATTCTTGTCCTCGCCGGTAGAACGCCGGAAACCTGCAAATAACTCTTACACCGGGGGTTGGGTCCGGTGAAGAGCCTCCGATGCTTAAGTCAGTATGTGTATGAGTATACTGGAATTTAGAGAATGAATAGAACGTGTTAAGGAAGAAAGGCTCATCCCCTTTTTATAGGGGTGAGATACCTGCCCTAATAGCTGCCCGGATAAGGATACGTGTGCTGCCCAAGCTGCCCGTCCGTACTCTGGCACGCCGCGCACATGTCAGAGGTGCCGCGGGATATTTGGGCGTTGTCAGAGGTGGTTATCGCTATCACCCAATACATTGTCGACACGTGTCCACCCGGCACATGGGGTAAATATTCTCCTGAAGCTCAGTCAGAGACCCTCACGCGCGTCTGCTATACACGCGTCTGGGCTTATGTTGATCAGCTTGCTCGATCACTCAGCTTGCTCGATCATTCAGCTTGCTCGATCACTTATCTGATCGATTGATGGGTAGCTCGAGCAGTCTGATCGAACGTCAGGCTACTCGAACGCCAGTGCAGTCGAGCTTTGGGTTGTTCGATCGCTTGTGTGGTCGAGCCCTGGGGCTGCTCGATCCCTTGGATTCCTGCCTTTCGGCTTGGTTTGCTCCCGGTCTGCTCTTCTCGGTCGGCTCACCAAATCGGTTCGTCCTTGTACAGATAATATCCTATATCACACTCGATTAAGCTTAGGACTTGAACGGGTGTCTATCCAAACAACTTAATCATATTATCTCATCTTACTAATTAACTTTAATTAATTATATTTGAACACCATTTCAAATATAATCACGTGCATTGGCCAATGACTTTATCAACCCGGTAAAGAGAAAACGAGTGTTCTCTCGAAACTCTATTCGATAAAATGAATTATATCTTGGCTCAAATACCAATTTCATGTGTATAGGGATCAACCTAACACATGCCTGTATCTACTACATAAGGAGCATAACTGTTGGACTAGGTTTAAGTAAATCACTCTATACATGAATTATGTATTATTCACCTCAAGTTAAATGATTATTACACCCATAGACACATTGATATGGGATACCAGGCCTTGATATAACAAACCCAAAAAAGTGGTCGACTAAGCCAAGCGAACTGGCTGGTCGAACAGAGCATCAGGAATGCCTCCGGTGGTCGAGCGCCACCAACACAGGGCTGGAAGTCTTCAGATAGAAGACATCACAATGGTTATAGGGAGGCAACAGCAGGTCGATTGGTCGCAACATTAGATGGTCTAATATGAAAGACTAAGACATAAGAAAGAATCTTTAGGGGATAAGAGTCATACGTGGATATAACGACCTGGCCTAACATAATTGGGCAGTTGCAGTTTGGGTAGTACTATCGAAAAGTTCGGGCAATACTACCGGGCAGTTCGAGTAGCTTACTAGGGCAATCTTAGGCAACAAGGTATCACCTCCCTATATAAGGGAGTGAGGTATGCCCTAATGAACATTACATTCTTCATTATTCCAAACACTTCTACACTTCATTTTATACAAGTGCTCATTTAAGCAATGTAGACTCTTCACTTGAAGACTCCTCTACTGTGAGAGTTTTTGCAGGTCACAAGGCATTCAAGCGGCGAAGGGGCTCGAGTTCAAGCTGATTCTTAGTCGGTTAGAGGTCTTTGCATACCATTTGGTGTCGTTTGTGGAACTTCATTCGAAAAGTTTGAAATACCATAACCATGGCAGGCAAGATTTCCATAATAATTTTATAGCAGAACTTCAATGACATGTGGTCGAGCACGGGTCTGTCAGAGCAGGCCCCCCATCGGGTTTCTCTGGACCTTCTCAGACCCCGATAACCCAGATGCCTCATTCTGTAGGCTTAGGGGGCTCGTCAGTGGTACATGTCGTTGTTGCACGCTCGAGCCAAGCGTAGGAGGCTCGAGTGACTTAGGGAGCGGTGATTCAAGTGCAGCTGCAACCATGTCTTGTCCAGCTGCCGCCAGTTGGGTCATGGAGAAGTGTGGCTGAGCGGAGGCAGCTTGTGACGTTATCCAATGCGGAATTGGCGAAAATGATAGCTGATGTTGTGGCGGCTAGGGCAGTTTAGCAGGCCACTCATCACATATCTCAGATGGGGACAAGCCAACAGGACACGGGGATGGGTGAATCTTGCTATAGGGAAGGAGGTGTCCATAAAGATTGAGCCTTTGAGAAAATAGTGGAGCAACTTCGTCAGTTGAAAGCGATGGTGGATAGCAAGCCAACTGGGTCGAGCTCTAGGATACCCCTTCTCGAGGGAGACTCTAGACGCAGTGTTGCTGAACAACTTTTGGGAGATTAGTCTAACGTACGACTGGTTGACATGCACGCCGAGGCATGCCCGATCATTTGAGAACATGGCAGTTCTAGATGGTTATTCAGATGTTGTGAGTTGTTAGGCATTATGGTCGACCTTGAGGGCAGGTCCACAAGACTGGTTTCACCAGCTTTTCCTAGAGTCGATAAAGGGCTTTGAAGATTTTTTGACCTTATTTCTTAACCAGTATGCCAGCGCAATCGTGCAAGAGAAGACATGTCTTACTTTGATTGCAATGAGGCAGGAGGAAGGCGAATCATTAATAAATTATGCCGCGAGGTAAATAAGGCTTGTGTAGAAATTCCCTTAACCATAGATGAGGTCAAGGCTGGAGGATTGACCATGAGTCTTCGAGCTGGTCCTTGTAGGAGTTCTTTGGTCATGACGCCAGCTCGAGCGTATGAAGAAGTGTTGAACTGGTGTAAGAGGTAAGTTAACATATAGGAAATAGAGGAGAATTCACCCATCTCGAGCAGAAAGAAAGAAAATGATCACTCACCTAAGAGAGATAACCATGAGAGGTCGAAGTGATTGAAGGAAGATTGGCGGCAAGATCGACCACTTAAAAATGGTCAAAGATATTTAAAGTATACACCTCTGAATACTCAAATGGGGGAGGTGATCGAGGCGATCGACCGAATGATTGACGATCAAGCAGTCACATGGCTGAAGTCAAGGAGAGAAGGGCCGACATAACCGAAATCAAACAAATACTGCAGTTTCCATAAAGGCAACAACCACAAAATGAAAAGTTGCAGACACCTTAAGGACGAGATCGAGCTGTTGATTTGAGTTGGGCATTTAAAAGAGTTTGTACCATGATAGGGAAAAAAGAATGAAAGAGAGGGTGTCAGGAGGATTCACTGGAAAAGATGGATCAAGACGAGGACGATGATAGAGAAGAAACCGAAGATAGAGGTGGTCGACGAGGAGGTGGTAAGAGAGGCCGTGAAAGAGAGGGTTGAGATTGTGAAAAATATGAGGCCTCACCGAAAACGTGAGTCATCTACATGATTTCTAGAGGCCCAACTGACGAAGATTCTAACAACTCAAGGAACGAGCATGCTCGAGCTACAATGAGAAATAAGGAAGAGGTCGATATCACAACACGGGCGTCGGTGATCAGCTTCCGAGCTGAGGATTTTGAAGGACTTCATGTACAACACAATGACGCCTTGGTGATCACGACGGAGGTCGCAGGATATGACGTGAAAAGGGTCTATACTGATATAGAAAGTTCGGTGGGCGTCATATTCTACATTTTTATAGGCAGTTGAATCTGTATGTCGAGATGAAGGAAGGGTCACGTCTTTGTATAGATTTAATGGAAGTGGGGTCGTACCTATGGGTGAGGTGATCTTGCCGGTGGTTTTGGGGACAAGTTCGACCCAGAAAGTGAAAATAGATAGATTCGTGGTTGTCAGAGAGGAGTCTTTGTATAACATTATCCTCAATAGGATGAGCTTAAATGCTTTTCAGGCATTGATCGACATTTTACATGACAATCAAGTATCCGGTCGGTGAAAAAGAAGGTTAGGTCAACAGGTGACCAACTGACGTTGATGACATGCTATCAAACAACAGTTGGTATGAATATGCAGAATACAAAGAGGTCGAGTACTACAACGGAGGAGATGATGGACAGACCAAGTGGATCTAGGTCGAAAGAGGAGAGGTCAAAGTTGGACAAAGGAAAACCAAAGGCAGATATCCAACTGGGTGGAGAGATCGAAAAAATTCAAATGATTGAGAGAAGTGAGAAAAAGAAGTTTAGGATGAGGAAGGAGTTAAAAGAACCTCTTAGATTAGAGCTCATAAGATTGATCAGGGAGTTTGGCATGTCTTCTTCTATACAGTAGATGAGTTCACTGGGATCGACGCAAAGGGAAATAAAAGAAAGATATCCAACCGGGTGGAGAGATAAAAAAATTCAAATGATTTAAGAAAGTGAGGGAAAGAATTTTAGGATGAGGAAGGAGTTGGAAGAACCTCTTAGA